AATCTAAGGTTAAAGTACATAAAGAAATATTATCGTTTAAGTCCGAGTGTGTTTAAACTAACTCAACTATTAAGTACCAATAATGTAAAGGAACTTTTTAATCTTGGAAAATATTTACATTTGGCAACAAGTGTACGTAAAGTCACTCTCCTCTTAACATATGTCCATATGTTATTCTGTATTGTATTGCATAACATGCTGTACTTATCTTGTAATATATGTATTATACCCATGAGTCAGTTGACTCGAGGTTAATAAAATAATCTAAAAAAAAATCCTTAAACGGGGTGTTCTCAGTTTCCACACTTTTTATAGAACAAAGAAAAGTGTTGGTATAGGAAGACAATGGCAAACCAATTATAGTCTGTTTCATACTTACTCCACAGGTAACTTACCTGTGTTAAAGTTACGAGAACAGGCCCCTAGTGAGAAAAGGCCCTCCAGCGTATAATTATGATCAAGGAGGACCTACTTCATCAGGCATTCCCGCTCCAGTACTATCGCTGTCAACTACTGCATGACAACCATTGTGCTCTTCAGATAAGTCTCAAAATTGAATATGCAGAACTAGGGATCAAGGGAAACGCATTAAGAGTTGTCAGTATTATGACAATATAGAGATAGCCAAAAGACAATTAAAACAGCATACCAAATGATGCTGCCGGGTTAGTAAAATTCGCTACTCAAAGCTTGTTTCATAAAAAAACATTTGAAATAGAAAAATATATGGCTGATCAGAACTCGTTTAGGAAACACTGGAAATATATATGTCATTTGCGATGAGAATACAATATACCAGTAATTATGTTTAAATTCAATGATGGTACCATCTACAGCTCATACACTAGCCTAACTTGGTTTATATATTCTGTGAACCAGAATTCTCGTTGCGAAACATTTCCCGCGCAAAACCATGGACGTCGTCTGCGGTCAGAGAAGAAATTGCGCATCAGTGAAAATTTAGGAAAACATACATCTTCTCTAAGTTAAATATTAAGAGGAATTTTGCCTGGTTTTAAGATACATATGCCGGGTTGTGTTGCCTGCGAAAACTAAGGCCTCTGCTTCATAAATAGGCTTTTCTGTCAAAGTTTATGAACTTTTATGTCATATTAATGATCGCCATTCGCCATTATTGAACTTGCATTTTCAACTAAGATACTATGTATTAGATCTCTAATATTTTTATGTACATATAATAACTGTAGACATGCCTACATGGGTCACGACTCGCCCTCACGTGCAGTGAACGTGTCGCGGGTGTAAATTAGGCCAGCACAGCAGACTGATGCGGGTTACCGCGAAATAAAAGTGTTGACAACTTACCTTCGTTGAAATCCAGTCAAAAAGACGCCATAACTGTCCAAATTCATCTGCATGTATCCGCACGAACACACATTTTACTCTTTATGTACTGTCAACAAGTACAGAACATATCCGTTCTCCTCTGTAACAGACTTTCACTCTGCACTCTCTCAAGGACTGTCGCGCAGTTTGCTGTCCATCGTGACCTCCATCATGTCACGTGATTGGTGCCATAACGACCAGCGGTGTAGTGAAAGGCTAGAATCGACTTAGTTACAGACGTACTAAGGTAACTACACCCAGTAACAAGAGGCCCTCGTACGATTTGTTAATGAAACACGGCGGATAGTACAAATGTTACGGCACGGAATTAGATAGCTACGACCATGGTTACAGATATACATCCACGGGACCAAATTTCTAGGTAATATCACGGACTTTGATATCAATCTTATCTAATTCCGTGGTAATATTAGTCCGAGTGATGATAATGTCTTTGCAAAAACAAGATAATTTAAAACCATAAAACCTGAACAGATTATTGTGCTTGTCAAAGATAAGTTGTTCCGAACCGAAAAATGTGTCTTATTGTAATTGAATAAGATAGGGTGTATGCAGTATCATCGTGGATGGAGAAGCATTATTATTTATATCCAATGGCGTTTGCCATGAAGTACAATATACTAGCTTCATATGTAATACCCCAAAGTTGGATGCCTAACAGATTTTCCCCGTATTTAATAGTTCTCTGCCAGACGTGTCGTCGTCATGCAAACGGAGAGTGACGTTAAGAACTATATTGACGTCATGACTCATGAGAACATATACTGGGTTATCATTTGACTTAAGCTATATATATATATATATATAATATATATTTGTCATAAGCACGCGTCTTTCCAAGATCACTCATCTCCGAACTACAATTAGGGTTCCGCTTGGCAACCATCTTCTATATGCCTCGATAAAATTGAAGGCTATGAAATAAGTCTGAAGTTTTTGATCAAATCTGAAAGGAATCGCTTGGTGAAACAGTGGTCATGTAAATGATAAGAGGATCCCAAAACACCTAATCCAACCTCACAGACATATGTCCATGTTTACTGTCACCACTGTGATACAACATTCTTAGTTGGTTTGGTTTAGTATTGTTTAACGTCCTTTTAACAGCTATGGTCATTTAAGGACGAAAAACACGTGAGAGAATCAATTAATTGCTAACTATACGAAGCTAAGAACTTAACCTCAGCGAAGATACCGGAGACAGCCCTTTACACCACAGGGACCTGCTACCCTGTTACAGCTATATTTTGATCAAAAATTTCAGGTCCCTGTGATTTAAAAAAAAAACACGTCGGTACTCCCCGTCTCCCAAACTGGTCTCCCCCCAATATAATCACCCATTACTCATGAGGCCAGCCCTGTAGCAATGACAGCTCTCGTGACCTTTAAGGTCAAACTCCCCAGATTAGCCGTATTGTATACCTGCTATCAGCACGCATCCCCTCACCNAACTCAGTTCGGACATGTGATGTCACTAAACAGTATTTATGAATATACAATGATCACACGAATCTCAAATTACCACACATTGTTAGAATCGACCAGATTTTGAGAGCATACTATGAAACATGGTCTGGTCCATATTTGTGGATCAGAAAACAACTTCTATATAAGTAAATGTCACTACATGTACATCGATATGTTGTTCAATTTACTGATTGATTAATCGATTCCTTATAGATCTATATACAAATCTATGAATCAAGACTTAAGATACCCCACGGAAAAAGAGGGATTAATTAAAGCACCAGACGACACCCATTTACACATTCACCTTTTACTCAACACAGTAAAAAGATGCCGTGTTGAATGTTCCCGTAGTTATTTGAGTGACATTGAAATATCAAATGTAGATTGTTCTTATAGCTGGAGTTCGAATTATAATTTTATTGACTCTTCGGTATTCTCTTCTTTCTAGATGTGGCCATTCTTGTTATTTCTTCCTATTTATTTTGTTTCACGAGTTCCCCCCTTCCCTTCCATGGGCATATAAATCTAGAGCGGAGTATTAATTGGCTGAGAGAGTCGTTTCCTGTAGTTTGGTGAGCATGATTGGTCCGACACAATTATTTACCCGGTATATGTTAATACTTTTTTCCGTTGTTTGATTTCCACAGATAATGAAATAACAAACTGTCGTCTGCTAGGTAGATATTATAGATATCTCTATTCTGGCTGAATCAAAATTAATTGGTACTGTCGGTGAACCCAATACCCAGAACCCGATCCCACCAAAATCTCGTGATATTTAAGTGATACGCGGGCTAAAAATAAGGTTAGTCCACAAGCTGCGCTGCCATTGACCTAATGGCGATGAAAATCCTTTGCAAAGCGGCTTTAATGTTGTTTGTTTTTCGTTGAATTTTTGACATGTTTTGGACTAAAATCTGCAGGTTAAGCTTGAAAGTTGAAGTTTCATAATGGGTCACCATAACTTAACAAGGCATCACAACTGTCAAGTGATGTCAGTAAGCTGTAAGAATTGGTCGGATACACTTTTCTGTTGGTAGTTGATTTTGAGCCAATGAAAACGGAAGGAAAAGATCAATATCTTGCTCACATGCAGTCAAACAATTTCACCCATAATTAATGTTAAAAACAACACAACCCTTGTTCAAGGCACGTGACAATAATTTAATAGTGTAACAATGTATATATTATCATACTTCTCCAACACGTTAATGTCGGGTGCAAACATGCAACAGGATCACAGGTGCTATCTATTTACATTACTGATATCACTCATTAACGGTACCAACCTTGTTGTGTAAAGTTCTAGTTGTGGAGAGTTTGCGGATTTTAAGGTTTCAAAAACTTTCTTACCAAACTTACAATCAGCCACACAACTGTTTATACGGCCTTGTTGACATTGGTCGAAAGATAGCCAAGATGGGTGTTGGAAAGGCATTTTTCTTGTAATTAATATGTACACATACTTGGAACAAAATATATTTTCCTACAAATGTCAACAAGACCCTGTTCACCATCACTCAACACTCCAACTGTATATTTCTGGACCAGTCCTGACTATTTGTCTAAGCTGAATAATGTCCAGTAATAAATGTACAACCATAGTTTTACCTCGTCCACAACCATTACACTTGATTGATTGATAAGGGTGTACATTTTGTATATCCAAAAATTTACATTTACCATGAAAAAGTCTCTCAATCACATGTTTTACTAGAGTAAGCATAATTAATTTCATAGTGTGATGATATTCCATGAATATGGGAGTGTATATACGGGTATAAACCCCATGTCTTCATGTAAATTAACCTTAATGAAATCACTGACTAGGATCACCATGGAAACCAACACACTACGCATACACAAACAGGAGTAAACAGGACAGTGGTTTGGTGTTCAGTAAACCCATTTAGCAGCAAACCATGACATATGAAAGACTCTTCCATGACATTTTTAAACTTCAATTATTAAGACACAAAGCAGAATATTTCATTGAAAAGAAATCTTTGCAGGGTCATTCAATACTACACACTTGGGGCCTGTTCGTTTATGCGGAACAACCCGTTTGACCGTTTATAAATGTAACAATTTCGGGTATAAATCCTGGCAGACCTGCAAATGTTTATGCAGGCCTTGCAAGGCTTTGTCAAGGCTCGCCTGAAAGCAGCATCAGATTACTTATTTAATAAACGAACAACTGTGGTCCGACCGGTTTGACCGTTTAAACGAAAACGGCCTTAGTATCCAATATGTAACAGAGAAACAGGTTGTATTATAAAATACAAGGTTTATTATGCATTAAAATATTTTATCGCCGAGTTCTTCTTCCTTCTGTCTTATAAACCTTATACGGTACTATGTAGTCTTGTAATATATCTTTGCAAACAATAATAAAACATCAGATTTTATGAGAAATATCTGCAGTGTCGAAACACCAAAGAAAGAAGACGTTGATAGATCACCTGAAGTTCTGTAACACTTGCTGGAAATAATTTCTATTGAAGGTATTCGAGAGGAGACTAATTTGCAAATTTAAATCTTTTGCAATTGTAACTTAAGAAACTTTTACTACCAATATAGAAATAGGAAGCATATCTAGCTCCCGAAATATACAAGTACAAGTGAACGTGCTAAGCATGAACTCCTTTATACCTAATCAGCTCATATAAATACACCACTTGTATCAAACTGTCTTACCGTAGAGCTAGGTATTTGCCCTGTGAATTACTGAAATAATGGGTGATGAGGTGTCTAACTCACAGGTCTTTAATAAAAGCGATGCAATCTTCACGTCAATGTGATTAATCAAATGTAATATAACAGTAAACATTATTATCGGCTAATCAAGTAATATGTACTACAAACCTGAAAGTTTAAATTCCACAAAGAGTGAATTGATATTTTTTTTTTCGTCATGAACATAAAATAGCGCTGAGGAATATCACACTGTACACAGTATAGAATGAGGACGGCTTAGCACAAATATTCAGTCACATAAATAATCATTACTATTTTCAATGACCATGTTATTGTATATATTTCTTGTTATAAGTTACGACCTGGAAGCTACGTTGCTGGCTCCATCTCTGGTTTCTTTTTCTCACTGATAGCCTCCGAGTATGATGGAAGGGAGTCTCTCGGTGGGCTAGGAAGGTTATCCAGATCCGGGGGCTCTGTTCGACCAGATGCAATGGGATAGCCAAGGGGAGGTAAGGCTCCTGACTTGAAACTGGCTCCACCAGTGAGGGGTGGAAGAGAGTCAGCCTTGGGAGGAGGGTGAAATGTTGGCTCGCTCTCTAGTCGACTACCAGTACGGTCCTCTTCATAGGGACTGTAGGGCGGGATTATTGGGGTGGGGGCGCCCCTTCCTCCATCGAGGTCCCCTACGGGGTCCTGTGGTGGTGGGGGAAGGGGACCTGAGTCTGGGACAGACCCAAATGGCTTCTTAACCTCGGTCTCATCAAGGTTGTCAGATGGCGTTGATTGCACAGTGTTTGAGTTCTGATCTGGCAGTGGTGCCGGCGGTTGGGCTGTCTGTTTCCACAGCATGCTATCCCCAACCTGCAGGGCAGCAGCCAACTTGCTCGCAACATCCTGGATCTGTTAACAAAGTTTAACTCATCAAACAATCTCCAATGCAGTCTTCATCTCAGTCAATTTTCTGTCCTATGGTAGGTTTTTGCTACGTTTATAACTACAATATATCAGCAATTACAACTATCGATATACACATGCATCAGCAATTTCAATTTGAATCAGTCATCACAAATACACTGTATATTACAAATAGATATTACATCTATATTTATCATTACAACTTACTCTTCTTTTCATTCCAAGTGTTTAAAGTAAAAATAATAACAGTATTTTTACCCCCATTTCCATTAGCAACATATCAACTCTCATGTCGACCAATTTTCTTTATCATTTTAGTTTATTGCTAATTTTACAACTAGAATATCTGTAAGTCTAACTAGGGTATATCAGTGAGTACAACTAGAGTATATCAGTGAATACAACTAGAGTATATCAGTGAGTACAACAAGAGTATATCAGTGAGTACAACTAGAGTATATCAGTGAGTACAACTAGAGTATATCAGTGAGTACAACAAGAGTATATCAGTGAGTACAATAAGAGTATATCAGTGAGTACAACTAGAGTATATCAGTGAGTACAACTAGAGTATATCAGTGAGTACAACAAGAGTATATCAGTGAGTACAATAAGAGTATATCAGTGAGTACAACTAGAGTATATCAGTGAGTACAACTAGAGTATATCAGTGAGTACAACTAGAGTATATCAGTGAGTACAACTAGAGTATATCAGTGAGTACAACTAGAGTATATCAGTGAGTACAACTAGAGTATATCAGTGAGTACAACTAGAGTATATCAGTGAGTACAACTAGAGTATATCAGTGAGTACAACTAGAGTATATCAGTGAGTACAACTAGAGTATATCAGTGAGTACAACTAGAGTATATCAGTGAGTACTTCTGGAGTATATCAGTGAGTACAACTAGAGTATATCAGTGAGTACAACTAGAGTATATCATTGAGTACAACAAGAGTATATCAGTAAGTACAACTGGAGTATATCAGTGAGTACAACAAGAGTATATCAGTGAGTACTTATGGAGTATATCAGCACATTACCTCGGGATCACCTGCATTTGGATTAGTCGCCTTTAAAACTTTCATCTTCATCTCAAAGTCCTTAAATTGCTTAGCAGCTTCCTTCTTTTGTCCATTGTTGTACATGTACAAAGCTAAGTTCAAGGAAATCCCTGGGTCTTTCCTACACACACAAAAAAGAAGATACTTATGTCAGATAATACTTTATATGAGTTTCGGTTTTCAAAATAACAAACACAACAGTAAACCTCTAAGGTCTCAAATTGATTCAAAATTGTAGTATTGTTGGTATAAATCTGGATTGAGAAATTAACCCAACTTGAAGGTGCAAGTGTTTTGCATTTTTATAACAGACTTCAAATTTAAAAAGGTTTGTTCTTACTGGTCAAGTGTGAGGGCCTGTTCATATGCCTGCCTGGCATTGTCGGGATCCTCTAGGTGTGTCAGAGCCACTAGGAACGAAACACACAAACATTTCAAAAGATAACACACACCATCACGTAACTTTTAATTTTACCGTATGTAAATAACTTATTGTGGTTAAGATTTATTTAGTTAAAGAACAGTCCATGTACAAAACAAGTCGTAAGCTTGATATTACACAATAGTGATATATAGGATACAGATATTTGAGTCCTAAACTCTGACACGATAATCCTTTGAGACTTTCTTACATTCTGGCCTCAATTTCACAATTTGAAGTTTGTAATTCTGACAGCAAGCTCCATTCCTGTTCTCAAATTAGGATCCGTTTTGTGGAATATACCAAGGCCTATTCTACAGCATAACATTTGAATGATTTTCTAAATTTGAAAGTTTGAGGAAATGATAATAAGTTGCCAGTTTTTTTCTGTTTGTCCTCTGAGATATGTTTACCTGCTAGAAGCATGAAGAGCTGTGCCATCTTTGGTCGTAGGTTGATAGCTGCACTGAGGAAGTGGAACGCTGAGGCGTACTGCTGCATAGTCAGGTGAACCAATCCCAGGTTAAAGAGGATCTTCCAGTCAAATGGTGCCATATAATTAGCCCTCTTGAGGCAGCTGATGGCCTGTGATGGTGGGAAACAAGGGTTTATACATTTACATAATACCAATTATGATGTATTACTGTTCCTGTTTCGTCACTTAACTTCATATGTACCATAAGGTTAGTGTAACTCTGCTGAAACCATGTCGATCTAGAAATATATTTTCAAGTTATATATCTGTCATATCTTTTTAAAAATACATAAGCTGCTGATAAGAATACTTGGCTCCTCATTTTAAAGCTTCCTTTTCTTGGCATCAAATTGTAAGTACACTTGTGTATGCACATTGTCTACCTGATTCTGATGACAGCAGCCATATTTGTTGTCTATTAAACATTCCCATTGTGGAATAGATTTCTCCTTTGTCTGGTCATTGACAAAATTTTCATCTAAGCTTGACTTCATTGAAAGGGTCACTGAGTTTATAAACTAATAAATTGAAATGCTTCCCTTTAATTTCCAGCTAAGCTACAAAAAAGCTTTCAATTTCCAACTTGGAAATGAAAATTAGCAACAATTTCTAATACTTACAGCCACAAATTTCTTCTTGCCAAAGAAACTCATTCCAATGTTGTTCCAGAGTGTTGGACTTTCTGGGGTTTTCACAGCTGCTATGCGGTACTTATTGAGAGCAACGTCAAAGTCACCATGAGTCTGCATCATACTTCCCGCAGCCATGATAGCTTTGACATGGGTGGCATCATACGTCATGGCGTTACCGAGGTTCTCAAAGGCCTTCTGGTACTGACCAATCTGTTAGAACCAAACATTACCTAATGTAGACTTTTATATACAATCAATCGTTATGATCAACACAGATCACTGACCAATCAGAACATCATTTACTGTCGACTTTTATATACAATCATTCATAATGATCAACACAGACCACTGACCAATCAGAACATCATTTACTATAAACTTTTATATACAATCAATAATTCTGATCAAAACAGACCACTGACCAATCAGAACATCCCTTACTATAGACTTTTATATACAATCAATAATTCTGATCAAAACAGACCACTGACCAATCAGAACATCCCTTACTATAGACTTTTATATACAATCAATAATTCTGATCAACACAGATCACTGACCAATCAGAACATCCCTTACTATAGACTTTTATATACAATCATTCATAATGATCCACACAGACCACTGACCAATCAGAACATCACTTACTATAGACTTTTATATACAATCATTCATAATGATCAAAACAGACCACTGACCAATCAGAACATCACTTACTATAGACTTTTATATACAATCAATCATTATGATCAACACAGACCACTGACCAATCAGAACATCACTTACTATAGACTTTTATATACAATCAATAATTCTGATCAATACAGAACACTGCCACTGACCAATCAGAACATCACTTACTATAGACTTTTATATACAATCAATAATTCTGATCAATACAGACCACTGCCACTGACCAATCAGAACATCACTTACTATAGACTTTTATATACAATCAATAATTCTGATCAATACAGACCACTGACACTGACCAATCAGAACATCACTTACTATAGACTTTTATATACAATCAATAATTCTGATCAATACAGACCACTGACACTGACCAATCAGAACATCACTTACTATAGACTTTTATATACAATCAATAATTCTGATCAATACAGACCACTGACACTGACCAATCAGAACATCACTTACTATAGACTTTTATATACAATCAATAATTCTGATCAATACAGACCACTGACACTGACCAATCAGAACATCACTTACTATAGACTTTTATATACAATCAATAATTCTGATCAATACAGACCACTGACACTGACCAATCAGAACATCACTTACTATAGACTTTTATATACAATCAATAATTCTGATCAATACAGACCACTGACACTGACCAATCAGAACATCACTTACTATAGACTTTTATATACAATCAATAATTCTGATCAATACAGACCACTGACACTGACCAATCAGAACATCACTTACTATAGACTTTTATATACAATCAATAATTCTGATCAATACAGACCACTGACACTGACCAATCAGAACATCACTTACTATAGACTTTTATATACAATCAATAATTCTGATCAATACAGACCACTGACACTGACCAATCAGAACATCACTTACTATAGACTTTTATATACAATCAATAATTCTGATCAATACAGACCACTGACACTGACCAATCAGAACATCACTTACTATAGACTTGTATAAACGCTGTAGGTTCTCAGAGACATTACTATTTCCAACTACTGTAAACCCCATAGATGTCAACCTATGAAACTGCCGAGGAGGGAGATCTCCCTCACTCCACATTTCCAATGAGGGAGAAAGTGCGTGAAACTGACTGAAACTGCTTTGCTCAATTTATCTTTCCGTTTTTATGTATAAAAATAACTCCAAAAAGCATTCATTTGAATCAGCCACACCTGTTATGATCATTACGCACACCCTGCAGTTACTAGGAGATCATTTGACCACAGGATGTAGATTTGTAGTTTGTGTGAGTTTGGAATGATGGAGGAATGCAGAAGTTTCGAGGGAGATTGGTAACATTTTGTCAAAATGATGGAGTCTTCCTCCTAATGAGGGATGTTTGACAGACATGAAACCCTAACAATTAAACATATTAACACAAACATTGTACAGTGTACCACTGTAATATGTAACTCATTATAATCATTAAGATATCAAATAAATGAAGATTTGATTTTGTGAACAAAAATGCTTCTCCCCTGATCAGCCTTATGCATATTTGACCTTTGATCCAGAGGTGGATGTCATAGTGAACTAAATATACTGGTCTGGTGTGCCACACTTTTCAAACTTCAACAAAGTATTTTCAATGTTTAAAATTTGCATCCTAGACTTTACTAATAACTTACTGTTTATATCAGAAGATTCAGTACTGATACAATGTCTACCGTCAAACAGGATACATAATTACCTGCATATATAGCAGACCAAGAGTGCAGAGCATGTCTGGGTTTTCTGGGGAATATCTACAAAAAACAAACACTGTATCATCAACTTTGATAGCAATACCTACAAGTGAAAAATCACAACCTCAAGTAAAATAGGCAATATGTGTCTTAATTACTCATAAAACTAACACAGACCAAGCAAATTGTATTCCTACTATGAAATTTTGTGTACAAGTGTTTTGGGACAATATGAATTATGACTTACATTCAAATAAATGTTCTTAAAAAGTGGAGTTTATGATTTTTTTGTCTGTATGTTAGCATACTGGTTTCTGGCCCAACCAATACATTTTCAGCATCAGTCTGAACAGCAATACTAAATACTTGTCTACAAGCTCAGACTGTGTGGTCAACAGTACATGTTATCTTTTGAACTTGTTTTGTGAATTTATCTTCATCTTTATAACCGAGTTGTGCGAGCCCTTCAAAGACAATGGGATACATGTTTGACAAGATAAAGTAAAATATAAACAGGCATACTGAAGAAAAGGTGGAAAATTTTAAAGAGTTCTTTATGTGTTCTTATCCACTAGCTTACTCCACAGCTTGTTTGTAGATCTCAATAGCAGAGTTAATATCCCCTTCCATCAGGTAGATCTTCCCAAGCATTACATAAGAAATCTCATGGCGTTTGAAAGCTAGTGCTTGCTTCAAACATTCTTTTGCCTGGAATAAAAGTAAATTTGTTATTACAAGTCAGAAATAATTAAACAATGTTAATCTCTGTATATTTAAGCTTTACTGAGAAAAGATTTGTTATTAAATCTTAAATTAAAAGACATTTTGACATGGTTCTGCTTATATATTTTTTCAACGTGTGTAAAAAAGAGTTATCTCACCTTGGCATAATCTCTGAGGTACATATAGCACACACCCTGGTTATGGGATATCTCCTGGAAAGATATAATAAGCTCTTTATGGGAATCAATTAAAATGAATATCAAGTACATAATGTAACATAAATTTACATCTTAACAACGTTAATCATCCATTTTAAATATATTCTTTAAAGCTTTATCAAACCTTTTAGATAAATCTGGGCTCTGACAATAAATGAAACAGTGTTCAAGCTATGATATTTGACTGTTTGTCACATAAAACACACAAATAAACCCAGCAAGATATACTGATTTCTGTTATATAGAAATCTCACAAAAACATTTCTGTACTACCTAATAGTCTCTCTGTGAAATCTTGGCTTTCTAATTTCTCTATATCGTACTTACCCAGTCTCTCTGTGAAATTGTGGCTGTCTCATTTCTTTGTATTATACTTACCCAGTCTCTCTGTGAAATCATGGCTGTCTCATTTCCCTGTATTATACTTACCCAGTCTCTCTGTGAAATCGTGGCCGTCTCATTTCTCTGTATTATACTTACCCAGTCTCTCTGTGAAATCGTGCCCGTCTCATTTCTCTGTATTATATTTACCCAGTCTATCTGTGAAATCATGGCTGTCTCATTTCCCTGTATTATTCTTACCCAGTCTCTCTGTGAAATTGTGGAAATCTCATTTCTCTGTATTATACTTACCCAGTCTCTCTGTGAAATCATGGCTGTCTCATTTCTCTGTATTATACTTTCCCAGTCTCTCTGTGAAATCTTGGATGTCTCATTTCTCTGTATTATATTTACCCCGTCTCTCTGTGAAATCGTGGAAATCTCATTTCTCTGTATTATACTTCCCCAGTCTCTCTGTGAAATTGTGGAAATCTCATTTCTCTGTATTATACTTACCTAGTCTCTCTGTGAAATCATGGCTGGCTCATTTCTCTGTATTATACTTACCGAGTCTCTCTGTGAAATCTTGGCGGTCTCATTTTCCTTGATTATACTTACCCCGTCTCTCTGTGAAATTGTGGCTGTCTCATTTCTTTGTATTATACTTACCCAGTCTATCTGTGAAATCATGGCTGTCTCATTTCCCTGTATTATCCTTACCCAGTCTCTCTGTGAAATCTTCGCTGTCTCATTTCTCTCCATTGAACTTACCCAGTCTCTCTGTGAAATCGAGGCCGTCTCATTTCTCTGTATTATACTTGCCCAGTCTCTCTGTGAAATCTTGGGTGTCTCATTTCTCTGTATTATATTTACCCCGTCTCTCTGTGAAATCGTGGAAATCTCATTTCTCTGTATTATACTTACCGAGTCTCTCTGTGAAATCTTGGCTGTCTCATTTCCCTGTATTATACTTACCCTGTCTCTCTGTGACATCTTGGCTGTCTCATTTCTCTGTATTATCCTTACCCAGTCTCTCTGTGAAATCAGGGCTGTCTCATTTCTCTGTATTATCCTTACCCAGTCTCTCTGTGAAATTGTGGAAATCTCATTTCTCTGTATTATACTTCCCCAGTCTCTCTGTGAAATTGTGGAAATCTCATTTCTCTGTATTATACTTCCCCAGTCTCTCTGTGAAATTGTGGCTGTCTCATTTCCCTGTATTATTCTTACCCAGTCTCTCTGTGAAATCATGGCTTTCTCATTTCCCTGTATTATACTTCCCCAGTCTCTCTGTGAAATCGTGGCCGTCTCATTTCCCTGTATTATACTTACCCTGTCTCTCTGTGACATCTTGGCTGTCTCATTTCTCTGTATTATTCTTACCCAGGCTCTCTGTGAAATCTTGGCTGTCTCATTACTCTGTCTTATATTTACCCAGTCTCTCTGTGAAATTGTGGCTGTCTCTTTTCTTTGTATTATACTTACCCAGTCTCTCTGTTAAATCGTGGCCGTCTCATTTCTCTGTATTATATTTACCCCGTCTCTCTGTGAAATCGTGGAAATCTCATTTCTCTGTATTGAACTTACCAAGTCTCTCTGTGAAATCGTGGCTGTTTCATTTCTCTGTATTATACTTACCTAGTCTCTCTGTGAAATCATGGCTTTCTCATTTCCCTGTATTATACTTCCCCAGTCTCTCTGTGAAATTGTGGCTGTCTCTTTTCTTTGTATTATACTTACCCAGTCTCTCTGTTAAATCTTGGCTGTCTCATTTCTCTGTATTATACTCACCCAGTCTCTCTGTGAAATCTTGGATGTCTCATTTCTCTGTATTATATTTACCCAGTCTCTCTGTGAAATCATGGCTGTTTCATTTCCCTGTATTATACTTACCCAGTCTCTCTGTTAAATCGTGGCCGTCTCATTTCTCTGTATTATACTCACCCAGTCTCTCTGTGAAATCTTGGCGGTCTCATTTTCCTTGATTATACTTACCCCGTCTCTCTGTGAAATTGTGGCTGTCTCATTTCTTTGTATTATACTTACCCAGTCTATCTGTGAAATCATGGCTGTCTCATTTCTCTGTATTTTATTTACCCAGTCTCTCTGTGAAATTGTGGCTGTCTCATTTCTTTGTATTATACTTACCCAGTCTATCTGTGAAATCATGGCTGTCTCATTTCTCTGTATTGAACTTGCCCAGTCTCTCTGTGAAATCTTGGGTGTCTCATTTCTCTGTATTATATTTACCCAGGCTCTCTGTGAAATCTTGGCTGTCTCATTATACACCTCAATAGCTGCCTTGTGTCTGGCCAGAAGGAATCTAGTTCCCAACACGTATTATATTTACCCAGTCTCTCTGTGAAATTGTGGAAATCTCATTTCTCTGTATTATACTTCCCCAGTCTCTCTGTGAAATTGTGGCTGTCTCATTTCCCTGTATTATCCTTACCCAGTCTCTCTGTGAAATTGTGGAAATCTCATTTCTCTGTATTGAACTTGCCCAGTCTCTCTGTGAAATCTTGGCTGTCTTATTTCTCTGTATTATATTTACCCAGGCTCTCTGTGAAATCTTGGCTGTCTTATTTCTCTGTATTATATTTACCCAGGCTCTCTGTGAAATCTTGGCTGTCTTATTTCTCTGTATTATATTTACCCCGTCTCTCTGTGAAATCGTGGAAATCTCATTTCTCTGTATTATACTTCCCCAGTCTCTCTGTGAAATTGTGGCTGTCTCATTTCTTTGTATTATACTTTCCCAGTCTCTCTGTGAAATCATGGCTTTCTCATTTCCCTGTATTATACTTCCCCAGTCTCTCTGTGAAATTGTGGAAATCTCATTTCTCTGTATTATACTTACCCAGTTTCTCTGTGAAATCGTGGAAATCTCATTTCTCTGTATTGAACTTACCCAGTCTCTCTGTGAAATTGTGGCTGTCTCATTTCCCTGTATTATCCTTACCCAGTCTCTCTGTGAAATCTTGGCTGTCTCATTATACACCTCAATAGCTGCCTTGTGTCTGGCCAGAAGGAATCTAGTTCCCAACACAAAAAGTCAAATAACTACATGTGGTTTCAAAATTTCTTGAATTAGGCATTGATGTTGGTAAAACTGTGCATCTTCATGTAATAAAAAGAAAAGAAAAAAGAAAAGCAAATTTGGTCTCATCAAAGGATGTTTATATATCATTTGCAGCTTCTTCTTTTTTATATATATAATTGTACAACTGTATTTGCATTCAGCCTTCCAAATTCCTTTTAAAAATAATTTATAAAGCTTTTTCAAACAGAAATAACTCTGGTTCAAGTGGGTCCTCAAAAAACAAATATTACTGTGAAGTCCTAATTTAAAATAGACAACAGTTCTTTCCCTGTTATAGATTTAGAGACTCCCACATAAGCTTCCCACATTCTCAAATAAAACATTTAGTATTTTGTAATTGTTTCTAAATGCGTGATTTCCGATACTCAAGGGGAAATAAACCAAAAAAATCAGTGTTCAAGGATACAATGCAGTGCCGTGACTTGAACCCGCAACCCTTCGGTTACGAGCCTGGCGTCCTACCACTAGACTACCGTGCCTCCATGATACAGGGATCTACTCTGGATTAAAATGTTCCTCTTATGATTCCACACATAAACCTCTATTCTGAATTTTACTTTGCCAAATAGTTTGTTTTTCTTGAGAACAAATTGATTTTGTAACTAAGCTTTCTTTATAACATAAGTATGGTCAGTGATTTTTGTATAACTTACAGTGATCTGGCTGCTTGCTTTAAGTTTTCAGCACTTGTTGGATTCAAAAGTGTGCATGTCTGAAACATTTCCAGGGACTCTTGAATCTTACCCTCTTGTCGTAGAATAAGGGCTGAAAGCAGAGAAAACAGTTGTTTATTTAACATAACTAGTGTTAATGTCAAGACTACGTATTCCAAGTACCAAGCAGCCAATGAAGTTGATATCATAAAGAATTATCAGACATATCTGCAACCTTTCTCTTCCTTTTGATGTATTGAAGCTTCGAAACAAACACTGAAAGCAAATCTTATGAAACACAAATTCATAAAAAGTTTTGATTTATTTTTCGGATGAGGATTTAACCCTAGAAAGGGAAGTAACTTCAAAAAAGTGTCGTGCTGTGTGGTACAAGTGTGTACCAAGTCGGTAACAACAACAACAACAGTATCCATATTGTGTGATATAGATACATATTATGATATATGACCTTCAATAGGTGTTTACTGTATACTTTGTCTGCATTTTATTATTGATAACATTGCATCTTTCTTATGTTTAACAGAAAAATTGATGTTTTTCACTGTATTGTACTCTCACAGTTTTTATTGTTGCCTTTAAACAACCAATACTAGTACAACAAATACATTATTATTTTACGGATTCAAGTACAAATTAAGACAGCAGACTGTGAAAGCTTGCATCAATGAAATAGTTTAATTGTGATTGTAAAATCTTACAAATCACATAGATTAGGTATCAATGAATGAATACAATTTGAGCGAACTTTCTCAATAGTACAAAGCTACTGACCTTGTACGTACACAGCGTATTCACACATGCCTCCACTCTCGGCCAGCTGCTCTTTGATGAGGGACTTACAGCTATCATACTCCTTCCTCACGTAGTGAAGGTGTATCAGCCAATTTCTCCTCTCAAAGATTGGTAAGTCAGGTGCTGAATTAAAACAGAATTGTTATAAATAAATCTGTACATTCAATGTAAAATTGGATATTTTTTGTTTCCATGCGCTGTGTAAGCCAAGTTAGATTATCAATATTTAATACAAAAATGTTCTGGACATTTCTGCAGATGTCTTGGAAGTTAGAAGTGAGTATGTGTAATGACCACTGACTTTTTCCTAGTAAATAACTGTCTTCTGAAGTTGCTGCAAACACTATTATTTGGTTTGTGATAATGGTGAATCTACTACACTGCATCAGCCCTAATTTTCAGTCACTGTGTACAAATCTTCAGGCTGATAATTAGAGGAGTATTATTTATGTTTTATAAAACAAGATCTGATTTTCACATGTGCTTACATAAAACTGCTCAAATTGTTCAGGGTAGGCTGTCCAGCTATATGGATTGAGGGAATCAGAAACACACTTTATATTTGATAGACCCATTCATGTTATACTCTACATAGAACTATAATCGACAAGACATTTAATGTATTGACCATTAATTGTTACCTTTGCGTGGTTTTGGCTTTGGAGCTGCGACAGGAACTTGTGGTATGCTCGTCACAATCTGTGGTTCCATATCTAGCTCTGGTGGAGGTTCATAATTTTCTTCCTATCAAATGAAAAACAACATATTCATAACTTTGCTTTTATCCTAATTACAAAATTTTGCCAAAACTGAATGTGAATTAGAAGTTTTTAATTCTGCTCAAAATTTTTTCATCATTTACTTGAGAATGCTTCTTTTAAAACAAAGCGAGGTAATGTTCTCAGGTGTCAGGGGTGTACAACTTCCTATTCAAATAGTTTGAAATAATGACTGACTATTTCCTTTTCAAAAATTTATTTCCGCCTCATCAACAACAAAAAATAAAAAGAAGATATTCAGTTTTTTTGGAGTACTAGATAACCTGCAGGCAGATTATGAAAATCACTACCAGCCAACCTACATTTTTATAATAAATATTGAAAGTTTTCACTAGGCCTGATAGACACCAGTCTAAGGTGTCAGGCTTCCAGATTTGTATACCCTTAGGTATTTTTAACATCATTTTATTCTTATCCAGTGTTCTCACTAAGTTTAGAAATAGGGGGTTGACATGAAGCGAACAGTCGGTTGAATGTTCGCTAGCTCTAATGTTGACATATACTCAGGATACAGAAATAGCTGGTTAAAGTTTGTGAATAGTTTGATTCATTGATGTACATCAACAGAATCTCGCTGTCACGTAAGGGTAAAAAATGGCAGGCTTTGAAGTTGAGTGTCGCTCCTTTGTAATCTTCAAAGGACAAGTATAAGCGTAGTGATCGGTCTTTTTTTTTTTACCGGAGACCAATCAAACGTCTATCTTCGTGCCTTCAATTTTGCTATGACATATTCCAGGGGTGCAGAGAGCTAAAGTGAGCGTAGCCCCTGGCTAATGAGGATGGGGTTTTCATGAGAACACTGTAATCCTGATGAAAAAATGTCAACTAATTTTTGTTGTGTAGATCATTTGCTTATCTCTAGGACAATGCATCAGAAAAAGAAGAAAAAGAAGAAATATCTTCAAAATAAATCTCGCAGTTCTTTCTTACAATGTATAAGTGAGTGTGACAAACTTTTCTTTTGCAGTCTGTTAAAAAGAAGAAATTTGATTACATCTGAATTGGTTCAAAATATGAAATTGGTTAAATTCTTTGAAAACTAGAAAATTGTCTAGATTTGTTGACATCACTACCCTCTTGGCTCTGTGGTTGACCTGTAAATAGGAACCGTGAACCTGGCATTGATCTCTTGATCCAGAACTAACAAACTCGGTTAACAGAGAAATATTCTCTGTTAGAAAATGAAGTCGATAGCAGCAATGACAATGAATTGCAACGACCGGACAGGCATGGTAATTTAAAAATGTGCACAATGGGTTTGGTGAACATGACTTTAAAACTGTTTCTTGTATACCAGATCATATAATCATTGGGGGTGTCATTTTTAACGAAAGTTGATATTAACCCCTAAATCATGTAAAATTACTCTCCTTAGTTTAGGCACAAGAGTCTGACGTTTAATCAATATAAGTATAACAGTACTGTATGAAAAAAATACCCCATATACTATAAAAAACCCAGTGTTTTTTATAGTATATGGGGTAATTTTATATATATATATATATATAAATACCCCATATACTATAAAAAAAAACACCTCAGTATAAACGTCAGACTCCTGTGGTTTAGGTCCAAATATAGCTGCAACAAATTCGCAGGTCCCTGTGCCTATGCCCACACCGAGCTGACTTCTTCTTCCATATAATTGCCTCCTTCGTCTTATCGAAGATTATGCAATGTTTATGATACACAATGCGCAGGTGGACACACAATTGAAAAGTTTAGATTGTAAAAGTTAAAAAGTTAAAAACACTGATGTAGTGTCAGACATTTAAAGCTGGTTGATTCGACCCACCAGCCTTAAGCCTAGTGAGTTTGGGGTCTGTTAGGAGTTTAAGCTTTTTTAGTTCCAATTCGTTGAGAGTTTTCTTAAAGGTTGCCAGGTTTGTCGAGTTCACAGTTTTTGAGTCAAGTTCGTTCCAGTCTTTTATTGTTCGAGGGAAGAATGAATATTTTCTTGGGTCTATTTTACATGCCTGGATTTGGTAGGACCGATCGTGTTGTTTTCTGGAACTCCTCATTGGTGTTTCGATTCGGTTTTCCTTTTTGATGGCTATTTGTTGTTTGTCAATTTTGAACATCATATGGAGTCTTGAGTGACGTCTTGTTTGGAGTGAAAACCAGCCTAGGCGTTGGATCATGGATGAAACGCTTGAACGGTTTCTGTGGCTGTTCATAATAAATCTGGCTGCTCTCCTTTGGACCGATTCAAGTTTGCTGATGTTTATTTGGGTGTAGGGGTCCCATACCGAGCTCGAGTACTCAACCAATGGTCTGACAAGTGCTTTGTAGGCAAGCTCTTTAATTTTTATTGAGGATATTTTCAAGTTCCTCCTGAGAAATCCAAGGGTTTTGTTTGCTTTTGAGGTGATGTTATCTATGTGGAGGTCCCAATCTGACAGACTGACACCTAGTATGAAAGAAGATGAACGGCATATATGCAGGTCTCTCAGACCTACACAGGGCTCCATATAGTATGTGTTCGATCCCTGTGGTCAAAGCGTCTCGTGGCACGTGATAAACCTAAGTTGTTTTGTTTCCGAACTTGCACTGATGCTGGCACTTTCATTGGCGATACAAAAAAATCCTGGAATTTTGCCTTTGAAAATTGGTAAGGGTCGTCACATTCATTTACACATTGAATTTACCTATGGTTAAAAGTATAATTGCAATCACAAACCTCAGAAGGTCCTGTTTTCTCCGGTAGCGAGTGCTCATCTTCGCCGACGGCAGCCATATTGTATTTAGCAACGTCGGTGCCTGGCGAATAATCGGAATTTGATTGGTTGAAAAATGCAAGGGGAAATAATCCTATCCGGTAATTTAAGGGTGCTTGGTTCGTTACTTTCATTTCAGTCTGAATTGATTTAACCAAATATTTGCATAAACTTGTACTGCTTAAGTACGTGATTAGTTGATTTTAAATAACCTAATTTGTTTGGTGGCATAGAGCTCGGTAGGTGGGGAATGGCCTAACCACCTGCCCTGTGACACACTCCACACATACCCTTTTAGTGCTATACCTGTTTTCATCCATGTAGGCCTGTTTGCTTGCATGCCTTGTTCTAGGCCTATACTATACCCCTGTTTATTGCAGAACTAGCTCTACAGAACACTACCCACAGATATAAAATTATCAAAGACTCCGAAACTTTTCAAAATCCCATATATACGTAAATATTGCTGATAATATTTCCCTTTATATAAGAAATACTTTCTTGTTATTTTTTCATAAATATTTGATATTCTATTGTATTGTACGTAATATTGTACATGTATACCTGTTGTTGTTTTTCTGACTGCATTGTTATATTATAGACGACCTTTTGGAAGATAGGTACGATCCTAAAAAGTTATCCTCTTTCAATAAAGTTAGTATCAATATTATTATTAGTATTAGTATTCTTATAATTATTATTATTATAATGTTTGTATTTTCTGGTATGTTAAATACATGTTCTTGTAGATCTGTCTTGTATGATAGAAAACCTAGGTTGACAATATAATTTTGCTTCCGTAAGAAAAGAAAAAAAGAAAACTAACAAAAATATGGCACTAATGAAAAAAAATACAATAAAATTTCAAACTTACTGATGAAATTTTCCTAAAAATCAAGATAACCCGGAAAACCTAAATTTGAGCTTATTTCAACTGAATAATTAGATATGTGATAAGTATATGATATACAAGTGTGGATGTATTTAATTAATAACATGTCAGAATACAGATGGTTGGGTTCGAAGTGTACTGTACTTTATTGACTTTAAGTGAACCTTGTTCATTAACGACAAAATATAACATTTAAAATATTTTAGCTACAACTCTGTATCATATGTATACCAGCCGATTGTGTGATAGTTCTGTGTAAATATTTAAAAAAAAGTTTATTTATTTAGAGTCAATATTCCAAATAAGACTGGATGTCAATATTTTTTATGATCCTACATGTATTAATTGATCAATTTATACTTTACATATTGGGTAAGTAAATACTATTGATGTTATGGAATATTGAAACGTACTAAAAGATTTTTTTATTTTTCTTTTATACAATTTTTCTTTTTTATAAACAGCACATTTACACCCAAAGCAACAATCATACATAACGTTGAATACAATTCCTTTCACAACGGACACCTCTTGATTGATTGATAGGTTTTACGTCCGCTTCACTACCGAGTAGTTCGGTTATCAAGCAGACCTCTTTACAAGAGACCAATTATAAGTTTAAGTTTAAGTTTTTATATACTGTACACACATACACATACGCACACAGCGGGGTGGGTGGGGGTTGCAAACCTTTCTTTAAAATAGTATAATGATAATTGTTCACGTTATTTTATAAGAGAAGCCATTTTTCCACTTTATTATGTAAGTCTATATTATTATTGCAGTTTTTATGCTTATTTATCAAGATCTTATGAGATTTAAGTTCAAAAAGTATGTGATTCTCTAAACTCTTTATATGAAGTTCCATTTCTAGACATTTCATTTAAAAAATGTATTGTTTAATCAATAATAGGATAAGGTTATCCACTATCAAATTAGTACTAAAAGATGATAATATTAATAATTAATAAAATGAAATAAATGATTTCACCTTGTATCTGCCCGTCGTGTTGTCCAGAAATTGAAAAGTAGAAATAAAAACTCAAAACCTAAATCTCAACAAGCCAAGTTGTTAATTGTCCTGGCACGTAAGATAGTGAAACGTGCACGTGCTGAGGTAACATATTGTGTGTGGCCTTATGTCATTTCAATTGAGAATTCAAAATATGCATATGTATGAAGGAAATACTTTTGCGTTACCGAAATTATTTCTTGTTGCTAGTTGTAACTTCGTTTCACCAAGAGACCGTATGATGGTATTGTAATTTGAACCACCACGTGCTTATATCGACTGACCTCACGCCTAAAAAATATATCGCATTACTATGGCCTATGGGACTAAAATGAGAATTGCTCCAGTCAGGGGCGTAGCTGGGATATAAATCATGTGTAGGCACTTGAGCAATTTGCTGAAAAATGAGCTGTTTTTTTTTAGTTTAACGACAGCAGTTTTAAACTTTAATAAAATCAGTTGATAAGGTTACCAGTGCGTTTTATGATACAAGATACAGAAAGTACGAAATTATATATGAATGAGTGGTTATGATTTAATGTTAGGATTTAAGCTGGATATTTAAACTCATTTCCACTGACGACAATATTTACGAAATAATTTTAAAGTAGAATAACCACTCCCTTTTATCCAAAAACATTTAAACTAAATTGAAATTCTTATTGGTAGGAGAGTGGTTCTTAAAGTAATGGAGAATACCGAAGCGTAAACGAAGTGTGAACTCAAAATCGATAACAGGGCAAAATTTGAACAAAGGCACGGCGACCATTGAAAAAATACAATGAAACAAGACCAGGTGTTCCGGAAGGATAAATGCCTTCTGTATCAAATATAGGTCAAATCCAAGATTTGTCGCGTGCTTAAAGCGAGAACTGGGGTAGTGACAACAAAACGACACTAATACACATAATCATTAACAACAACCTTTATACCACACAAACTTGACTCTTTGAAAAACATGTGTTGTAACTTTGTCCGTCAGCAGTCTATATCTTTGATATCATGATGAAGTCTTGAAGTTATGAAGTTATGCTATTTGCAACAAACTCTTGAATACAGACCGAATCAACATGAAAATTCTGGGATGTTACTGTCAAGAAAGAGAAAGATCACAATTGGAAAATCTAAATAATCACGCTTATCGAAGCGTAGTTTTAAGAGGTCTCTTTTCATTTTGATATGAGTAAAGATTACGGAAAATGTCTGGGGTAAAAGAGCCTGTAGTGTCGGTAATTTTAAGCTCGACGCGGTCAATAAAATTCTTGTAATTTACAGACAGCATACTGTCGATATACTTGAATGTTAAATTGAAAGAATTGCAATTGGCTAAGATTTTTTTGTCCTGATTGCTTATCAATAAATTTATCCTCTTATGAACACCAAAGAATTAGCCAAGAGGAGGGGCACCGTTTCTTCCCATATGGATGCCTACAGTCAGCTTACTGATGGGGAATCTTGCCACTGGACTTGATAACGAACTCAACCAGGAACACAATCATTTTCACAATTTCTGCCCCTGTTTTTCATAAAATATGCTCCAAAATAATTTACAACCATATATTTCTATCGCTGTTTTCCCTTCTTTTTGAAAAGAAACCTCTCATAATAAGAAAACGAATCAAAAGCGTTCCTTCTACTTGGTAGGAGAAAATGTTGTGTGGTTCGAATTTTCCGGACCACAAAATTATTCCCAGTTGGTTGTGGTAATAGGATTGTTTAATGTTAGCTTAAAAATTGTATGGCACTTGTGCGTTACAAGGTCTTTTTGTATGTGGAAAAATGAGATTTTCCATATTTTGTACTAGACATATATACAAAACATCATGGATATAATATAAACTTTTATTTTAGTGAAAACACATATTCATTTTTTTTGGTATGAATTTACGCTGACTAAGAATAAAAACTCGACAAAATTGTGTGTAGGCACGTGCCTACTCGAGCCTAAAGCAGCTACACTACTGTCAGTCCTATCTTTGCTAAACAATATGTCATTTTTACCTTTACCTTGGTAGACAGTACCTTTGAGTATTGTTCACGTACCGGTAACACTCTACCTTAGTCTGTAAAAGCTGGCCGAATGATTACCGCACATAGATGCAAAAGGAAATATTTCGTCGTTGAAGGTCACAAAAATGTATTCCAGTACACATACTAGTTCAAAGGACGATTGCTATTGACACACGTTAGAAGTAAAAACGTGAGGGTCAAATCGTCATAATAAACCTATAAATAATATCTAAAAGGCTTCCAGTTTTCTATGGGTCGCCTCCAGGTATTCACAACATAGATGTCGATAATTAACCCCAACCTCAAAGGCGGAATAGAATCCGAGTATCAAACATGCTAATTACAATGTTTCTTTTTTATTGATCTCGCAATAATTCTGTAGAGGTTCATGTGACCTTTCGATGAGTAGGAAAATACAGTGGTTTTTCCACCTGAACCTATATACAATCCGTACTTACCAACATAGAGAAAATGTTTTGAAAGATCTCGCAATAGCTTGCAGACAAAATTAAAAAAGGATATACGCACATTTTTGACATTCTAAACTGCAATTCGTTTACGACAACCGTCTGTGCCCTCCATCTGCTTCCACGACCCTTATTTTAATTAGGAACATTTTATGTTTATCAAATTATAATATCATATAATCAAGGGGTCAACAGAATAAGCAAAGATTTTTTATTGTCATTTAGTAACATCGAAGTACCCTTACTCAGTTGTGAATCTGTCGCTGAACTGTTTCATGAACACGTCCAGCTCCTTACAACATTTGGCTACAATATGTAATATATATGCTTCAACTATAGAATTGTTCATAATCCGTGCCAGAATGAAATCCAACTTCACGGCTATGGCTAGTACTAATACTAATACCCGGTCTCCTCTGCCAGGACGCGATATATAAAACAACTCTCTCGTCGTCAAAAAGCTACGTTATCGCAGTATGGCTACAGTCAAACTCGGGGACTGATAGTCCAGCTACACGGCTACGGCCAACCTCGGGGACTGATAGTCCAGCTACACGGATACGGCCATTCTCGGGGACTGATAGTCCAGCTACACGGTTACGGGCAACCTCGGGGACTGATAGTCCAGCTACACGGTTACGGCCAACCTCGGGGACTGAAAGT